AAACCTTCATAGAATATAAGGGTTGGAAGGGACCCCAGAAGGTCATCTAGTGCAACCCCCTGCTCGAAGCAGGACCAATTCCCAGTTAAATCATCCCAGCCAGGGCTTTGTCAAGCCTGACCTTAAAAACCTCTAAGGAAGGAGATTCTACCACCTCCCTAGGTAACGCATTCCAGTGTTTCACCACCCTCTTAGTGAAAAAGTTTTTCCTAATATCCAATCTCAACCTCCCCCACTGCAACTTGAGACCATTACTCCTCGTTCTGTCATCTGCTACCATTGAGAACAGTCTAGAGCCATCCTCTTTGGAACCCCCTTTCAGGTAGTTGAAAGCAGCTATCAAATCCCCCCTCATTCTTCTCTTCTGCAGGCTAAACAATCCCAGCTCCCTCAGCCTCTCCTCATAACTCATGGGTTCCAGACCCCTAATCATTTTTGTTGCCCTTCGCTGGACTCTCTCCAATTTATCCACATCCTTCTTGTAGTGTGGGGCCCAAAACTGGACACAGTACTCCAGATGAGGCCTCACCAATGTCGAATAGAGGGGAATGATCACGTCCCTCGATCTGCTCGCTATGCCCCTACTTATACATCCCAAAATGCCATTGGTCTTCTTGGCAACAAGGGCACACTGCTGACTCATATCCAGCTTCTCGTCCACTGTCACCCCTAGGTCCTTTTCCGCAGAACTGCTGCCTAGCCATTCGGTCCCTAGTCTGTAGCTGTGCATTGGGTTCTTCCGTCCTAAGTGCAGGACCCTGCACTTATCCTTATTGAACCTCATCAGATTTCTTTTGGCCCAAACCTCCAATTTGTCTAGGTCCTTCTGTATCCTATCCCTCCCCTCCAGCGTATCTACCACTCCTCCCAGTTTAGTATCATCCGCAAATTTGCTGAGAGTGCAATCCACACCATCCTCCAGATCATTTATGAAGATATTGAACAAAACCGGCCCCAGGACCGACCCTTGGGGCACTCCACTTGATACCGGCTGCCAACTAGACATGGAGCCATTGATAACTACCCGTTGAGCCCGACAATCTAGCCAGCTTTCTACCCACCTTATAGTGCATTCTTCCAGCCCATACTTCCTTAACTTGCTGACAAGAATACTGTGGGAGACCGTGTCAAAAGCTTTGCTAAAGTCAAGAAACAATACATCCACTGCTTTCCCTTCATCCACAGAACCAGTAATCTCATCATAAAAGGCGATTAGATTAGTCAGGCATGACCTTCCCTTGGTGAATCCATGCTGGCTGTTCCTGATCACTTTCCTCTCATGCAAGTGCTTCATCTATCTCTGAATTGTGAAGAATATGTATTAACGTTATAACAGCCAACAAGAAAGCACTTTTATGTAGAAATACATGATTAAATCGAGCCTTCCTGTCTAGTGATTTAAATCAAATCCACCCTGCTTACGTGTGGCCAAACATGGTGCTCTGTACTTTACTCAAGTGGTTATCTGCTTGTAGAAGTCCTGTCTGTGATCATGCTGAGATATGCTTTGCAATTTCTGCTCATTTTACCTTTTGAAATCACCCTCATCTCTAAATTACTTTACCTGCCCTGCATCTCTGCCCTGTCCTTGACTAGCGTCACATTGCGGCAACCCTTTCTTGGATAACAAGCACTATGTAGAAGGAGGATTGCTTGAGTAGTGTGTGAGGCACTGTTGTCCTTGAGCTGTATGCACTGTCAGTTTTGGGAGCTTAAGACTCAAATTTAAACATGCCAGATGGCAGCCTTGCCTATATGGTGAAGCAGGCTCCTTGCTAATTTTTTTAATTTGAATTGCTTTAGTGGAGCTGTTCTGTGGTATGGGTGTTTCTAAATGAAATATGCATAGCCTGTATTATAGTGCTTGGCGCCAAGGCCATTGAGGGTTATCAGCATAATCCAGCTTGGTTAATTCAAATAGTTTTGCAAATTCCATTTTCAAATCAAGCAGTCAGCCTTTCAGGTTAAATTAGAACTGTGTTCCGAATGTTTATTACCAGTTAGGCATTTTGAAATTTGGTAGCCAGATAAAGAAGTGGGTGTCCTTTAATGTGGTCAGACTATCAAGACTATCAAGTCGAAAACAAAATGTACTGAGTGAAATTTGCCACTGTCATAAAGCAGGTGCAGCTCCGCTAAAGTCAATGGAGATGCATCAAGAGATTTCATTTTATGTAGCGTAAAAAAAAAAGTATGCTGTTGGAGGCCATGTAAGCATCTAGGTGGACAGATGAAGACTGAGGGTGTTTTTGGCCGTGTGGGCATTCCTTGTCCGCTCAGTCCACCAGCTGTGTAAAATAATAGTGGCCGGTTGCTCTATTTTCAGCTCTTTGGTTTTGTCTTTGGAGAATGACGGTTTGGCTTGTCAGAACTGGATAATTATTTAAGCAGCCGCATATCCTTAATGCTTTTCTGTAGCTGGAAAAGCTAGGTTACTTTGAGCTGTATTTAATACCTGGGTGTGTTCAGGTAGTAGTTGCCTGGCACAGAGAATGTTTGAGGTCATCTGACTCTTTTGTTTTAACATTACTTATGATGGTGACAGGGAGGGTGGTTGTTTGTGTGCGAGAGAATATTTTTGCTTTTCATTTATATAGACTAGTGTAGGTCTGCTGGCATTGACAAATGTGTCTGAGATAGATTTAATAGCATTAGGTTTCAAAAGGTATTGTGACTCTGGAAAATATTTGGAAGATAACTGTTTACAGTGTCTCATGAGTTAATTGTAGCGATTACAGCCATGGTGGCTCTCCTTGCAGTCAGTATGTGTGTGTCCTTCGAACATACTGCATGCTTACAGACATATATTGCTAGAGTCCTTCCTTCAGCAAAGATAGACTGACTGGTTTCACCACTCAGCAGCCACGTGTGGGGTGATTGACAAGCTGGCCTGTACATTTTGATGGCAGATCCCTGAATGAGGATGAAAGCACATTTAAGTGCCTACAGGAGCTCATCTTGGCCTACTCTGTTCTCTTAGTGCCCTGAAGTGGTGTCTGGAGAGAAATATCTGCCATTTTGAAGGTTCTCTGGGTGACTACTTAAGTCTAACTCCCTGGGTCTCTTATGCTGGGAAACATCTTTCTGCATTCTGTCTCTTGGTGAAGAGCATTATTGCATCTGAAAAAGAGGGGCAGGGTAATAGAAAGTGATCACTGCTACTAGCCAGGAGAAAGCTTTGAATTTCTGCTTCTCTACTTTGTAATATTGGAGCTGTGAACAGTGATAACATGGCATTACTTTTTCACTGGCATGAGACGCATGTTTGCATCGTTTCACTCCATGATAACCGGAAGCTGCTGTTTTATAGAACACAGTGGCAATTCAGAGAACACTAAAGTACTGGGTAGTGATGGGCAGAGTATTTTAATCTCAGTGAGGCAGCATTGGATTTTTATTCAGTAGTCTTTCACTGACCTTTTCTTTTCTGTAAAGATGCGCAGTGTCAGAAAAATTCAAGCTTCTTCAAATAGGAGAATATGCAGGCTGCCTAGCAAATAATTTATGGTGCACTGACCATTCTGGGCAGTGTCAGTAGAGCTATGTAGCTTTATTCTAGAATGATGCAGCATTGTGAAGGGATGACTGGCAGTTGCTGGGATTGTTCTCAGGAATACCTTCCTCTGAGAACGAAGTTCCCTTCTGGCTTCTTCCCAATGTAATGAGTCAAGTGTGTGTGTGGTTTTTCCCCTTAGTCTTGTGTGTCAGCTAGTAGCATACATTTTGATTTCAGCTCTTTTATAGCTCTCTGCATGTATGCTGGGCTCTTATTTTCAATTATCCACTGTGGATAATTTGCATAGTCCATTATAAAGTTTCAATGTTGTATAGTCTCAGGGCAGTATAAAGTGATATTAACTGGTACCTGGTCTGTAGGAAATTTGTAGATTATTTTCACTATAATAATGATCACCCTGCAGTTTTCATTACAACAGCCCTAGTGTACCCTCACACCACATCCCTCCATACGCAGTGCAGTATTTCTGTACAAGGAAGAGGGAAATATTTGTGTTCTGGCAGTCTCTGTAGGCCCTGAGCGAAGTTGGGGGTACCCCCTGTGCAAGGCTGTACAAACAGAGAAAACAGAGCTATGAAGATAAGGCCTAACCGATAAGACAAACAAACAGAAACAGACAACAAACAACAAACAACTTGTCAGGAGTTACAGTGCAGTTTCTCTCTACTTGTCACTCCATAAAAGCCTTTTTCACCCATCCTCCCTCAATTCAGCTACTAATCAATCTCCTTCTCAGCCCTTATTCAACCTCCTTCATCCCTGCCCACTCCATGTATGACACTTAGCCTTTCTCTGGTTGTAACTAATAAAATAAAATTAAAAAAAGCAAAAATTTCTCCTGGCCATTTCAAAGGAGCCTCACTACTTCTGGGGAGGGGGGATGTACAGGGGACCCACCTGTTCTCTCCCTGCCCCCACATGTAAACTGACAGCTCTGGCTCCCACCCACGCTGATCATTTGTTTGTGATTTATGATGGTAATGTGGCTGTAAGAAGATACTAGCGTTAAGGAGAGGGGAGCTGTAGTTTCCAGAGACAGCCAGAGTGTGTGTCAAACTTGTTCTCATTTGTATTTCACTTCTCATAGCAGAAACTAAACTACTAAGCTTAGTGAATAGGCCCCTGGGTTTCATACTGTAAACATGGAAGCATTGCTTTTTTGCTCCTTGCTTCTGATGTTTAAATTCTGTCCCCAGGAGCGCTAGATCTGTTATTAAGAGGACCAGTTTCGATGTGTGGGCAACAAATATAAAATAAATCGGCAACTAACTTAATTTATTATTTATTGTTTGTATGGTGTCATAGTTGTGATCGCTTGCTGACTTAGGGCTTTATAACTAAACTACTTTGCTGACACAATTGAATATTTGAAACTTTTTGGTACTTTGTGGGGAGGAGTGCAAGGGAGAGTGACTAAACTCGGTCTACCTTTCTTATCCCAGTAAACCTACATGTGTGCTGATACATGATTTCTTTTCTTTAGAAATTGGGGGAGAATTTAACCATTTGCGACAAAGACCAGGTGTTTAAGAGCTAAGAACCACAGTTAATTGGAGACTTACACAAGGTATGTAAATACATTCTTGTCTGGTCAATTTTCAAATGTAACTTGTTTGCAAAGAATATGTGCTCTTAAAAGGTGTGAGTAAGGGGTGTGGAGCTGATACCAGAACCTCATTGAAGGCAAAACCAAGCAAGCCATTGATGTAAGTAATCATTTTGAAGAGGTAGAACTTTGGAGAGTCCTGCATGGCTAATTTAGATGGTGTGAGTATCTCACTGCCTGAAGTGGGACAACTTGGGTATTTTAAATCATCACTACATGGAAGTTACAATTGTTCTTCTGTTAGAGGGAATAAAAATTAACTGCAAATGCTATTCCTATCTTCTCTACTCATTGAGGCTGTCACACTGATAAGGAAATAATCTCTCTTGACAGCTGGGTTGGCAATTTCCAAGGAAAAGCTAGTTTAGGACAAGATGCTGGTAAATACCAGATTAAACCTGCGTTAAACTGGGAAAAATAATTGCGTCAGTGTCCAGCAAGTTCAGCAGGCATACAGCAAATCTTTTCAAACTATGGTTACATTCATTCAAAACTGAGGAATAGGCTTGGCCTATCCACTGCATCAGAGTTGGTCTTCTGCTACAGAATGCTGCATGGCCAAATGGATCTGGACTGGTATCTGCAGCTCTGCGTGCTTCTGATTGCTTAATGCTTCAAGCCTACAACTCTGAACTGTTGTTGTTTTCATATAATTGAATGTTTTTGTCTTTTATATAATACTGAAATATGAATCATAACATATAATTTCCTTGAGAAAATACCGAACCAAAATATATGCAGACATTCCAATGTTCAGTATTATACTTACATATGTTACATAATATTTAGCGTTACACCCACTGCAGTTTTACTTTTTATTTGTACAACCCTAAATTAATCTGTGTATCTACTGCCTTATTTAATCACAATTTGAATATATAACTAAAGCTAAGCGTAATGTGATGTGTAGTGTAATGTAATGAAACAGTTTTTTAAATAGAAAATGCCTTAAACTGGTGCTAACTAGATTTTCCTGGGGTAGAAGAGACCATGTTTTTCTTGATTAAAAACCACTTCTGGTAAATACCATGCCGTCCTTGCTTGATGGCGTCTGCTGCATTGTCATTCAATGAGCCTGTTATCCCTCTTGCCTTATTGATTCTGAATTAAGCAAGCAAACTAACAAACAAAACTCTCAAAAATTGACGTCTTAATTAAGAGTTGTTTTCTGAGTCAAAGTGATAGGTGCCCTGTAAATATCTAAAATAAAAGATAGTGATATATGTATACATGCACATTTCTTGTAAAAAACAGATCTGATTTCTTTTCCTCCTCCTGCTAGTCTTACAGAGCTAGTACACCTTTTGGAGAGTGATCTGGAGTCTGTTGTGGCTCTGAATTATACAAAGTTCCAGTTGCAGATAATTTTTATCACTGGTGTCTGTGCGTGAGCCAGAAAGAACTCATCTTGACTCTGAAACACTATAACCCTGGAACAGCACACGGAACTACTCAATCTCATTTTTAGGCAGTCACTTTTGAGAATATAAGAGCACTTCGATGGATTGAAGCAGTGGGTCGAAAGAGTTGCAGCAAGAAAGTTATCAGTAAATATGTCCCTTTTTTCTCTTAGAGTGGGTTTTATAAAGAGTGCTGTAAAATAGCAGCAGGACAGTGTCTGGAGTGGGGTCAGTTTTCCTCTAGCTAAGAGGGGTGGGAAATGAGGTACTTAAAAATGCGATAAATGACATATAACTTCTAGAACAACACTGCTGCAATCTAGCAAAACATGAGTATGGTATATTCTGTGGCGATGGGTAGTATAGGACTACATCATGAAAAGATAATCAATACACAGTTCAGGGCAACTGCACCTCTGTTTTTTTTCCCTCTGTGGTTCATCAAGGGCACCCACTCTACCCTCCGGGCTCCTCAGACATCACCTCTTTTGAGTGGAGACCTGCGCGACTCTCCGTCCTGACCAGGGTTTTTCCAAGCTGCACAGTTCCCAGCCTATGCTATGAGATCCCCATCTTAGCCAGACTGCCTAAATTGACCAACTTCTATACTTTGCTTTCTCTCCAAAGGCTCTAAACAACACAATTGCTAGCAGTTACAAGTTACCACACAGCCCTTTAAGGAAGCATGTTTATTGTTAAGGTGGGAACATTTCAGAGAAAACATATTAAAACCAATAAAAGAACCTACACACATGCTAAAAAGCTTACCAGAGGTCACCCCAGATTCAACCTTGGGCTCTGGTAGGTGTTAGTCCTTCAAAACCTGTAATTGGATTTTCCCCATGGCTACAAATTCATAACCGTCTGATTCAGAACCAGAACAACTATGAATACTTCAGTCTTTCCTTTATACATCTTGGGCCTTGGATCTTGGCCTCAGGTGATCAGCAAACAATAACCCCTCAGGCCATAGCTTCAGAAGGCTTGCTTTTTGCATAACCGAAGATGGGCAATTTGCATTAACCTCTCCCCAGGCGTTCCCAGGGAAATCCAGTTCACACATTGTACCAAAAGTCAGGTTTTCCTTCTTTGGTACAAAGAAAAGGAATACTAGTGGCACTTAGAAACTAACCAATTTATTTGAGCATAAGCTTTCGTGAGCTACAGCTTACTTCATCGCATGCTGTAGCTCACAAAAGCTTATGCTCAAATAAATTGGTTAGTCTCTAAGGTGCTACTAGTGCTCCTTTCCTTTTTGCGAATACAGACTAACACGGCTGCTACTCTGAAACTTGTTTGGTACATTTTCCATATATTCCTTTGAAGCCCCAGGTCTCACTTCTGTCACATGTCCCCATCTTGAGAAGTTATATACAATCCCAGACCACAATAATAAATGAATGATTCATTTAATACAAGTGACCCCAAAGATACATAAACTTATTTCAGTAAGGTCTCCCAAGGATATCACAGGGAATTGCCATATCTATCACAATCTGAAACCATTTTGTCTTTCTACTTTTTCTGCTGGGGAGGGTGGGAGTTAGTCAAGGTTCAAATAAGCAATCAAACCACTTGTTTTGGGAATAAACATCTGATTTGGTTTTGCAGCTTGTAAATAAAAGCTGGTTTCAGAGTAGCAGCCGTGTTAGTCTGTATCCGTAAAAAGAAAAGGAGGACTTGTGGCACCTTAGAGACTAACCAATTTATTTGAGCATAAGCTTTCGTCAGCTACAGCTCACTTCATCAGATGCATGGGTATCCGATGAAGTGAGCTGTAGCTCACGAAAGCTTATGCTCAAATAAATAAAAGCTGTTCAGGTTAATCTTTTAGTAGTCTAGTCTAAATTTCTAAAGGATCTTAATTCTTCAATATTGGCTGTAATTGTTCATGTTATGCATCAGAAAAGACCCCAAAGGGACTGGGATTCAGTTGTTTTTAGCATTACTCACTATTTCTTTGGAAACATGACTTCCAGAGTTTTGCATGTAAAGTTGTGCAGTTTTAATGAGAGTAGTATGTGGAGTCTGCTGGTTTCCAGACTACACTGGAACTAGTGACCTGTGGGGGTTGGAACTTCATTGGCAGGCACGCCATTTATTTTCCTTTGGCTGCATAAAAAGTAGCACAATAACTTGAATTATGCATATGAGTCTAGTCTTCCTTTCTATGAACTGATTGGTGAATAGTTTTGTTATGCAAAACAAAGGGGATCTTTTTTGAGCATTTCCTGCTCTTCTTGTGGGGTGTGAAAATCTAAACAGTAATGGATCTCCAACTGCTTCCACAAGGGCGCAAGTCACTGTACCAGCTACTCAGGAGTTGGCTACACTTGCGAGTTACAACAAAATAAAGGAGTCCTGGGCACACTAGCTCACTACCCAGGCACCCTGGCAAGGCATGTCGAGTGCTCTGACTCTGTGGCTACAGCGCTGCTGGTACTCCGCCTCGGCGAGTGGAATAACATTTGCTATGCCCCCGCTGGAGCACCGCAGCACCAGTGTAGACAAAGTGTTGCATTACTGCGCTCCGATTAGCCTCCGGAACCGTCCCATAACCCCCTTAAGTCAAGTGGCCACTTTTGTCATTGTTTTTGAATCACTGTAGGAATGGGGATATGCCCTTTGAAAGCTCTGTTTCTGAGAGCTGGCATGCTTATCTGCTCCAAGACAAAGCAACCATTAGTGTGGAATGCTGTGTGGTGGTAGGGGGGGCCTGCTGCTGTCTGAACTTACAAGACAGCATGCTGACATGCTCTCAGCCCCCCCCCCCAAAACCTACTCTCCACCCCACCCCCCCCACATACACACAACACACTCCCTGTCACAGACACACACACACCCCCGCCATTTGAAAAGCACGTTGCAGTCACTTGCATGCTGGGATCGCTGCCCATAATGCACTGCGCCCAGTGCCGCTGCAAGTGCTGCAAATGTGGCCATGCCAGCACGCTTGAAGCTGTCAGTGTGGACAGACTGTAGCGCTTTCCCTACTGCGCTTTACAAAGTCTGGTTTAACTCAAAGTGCTCTACATCTGTAAGTGTAGCCGTGCCCTCAGTATTAGTAGGACATCACTATGAGGAAATTATTATTAGTTTCAAAGTGAGAAATTTTGGTGGATGTTCTTATTGCTCATTTACCTCTGTTCCTTTGCGTGCATTTGGAGGAAAAAAAAAAAGTCATGACTGCAAAATCCATTTTTTCTCTGTATCGTGGAAACTTTTCCTGTGTTGATTTTTACTGTTGTAACAGAAAACCAAGGTCTCCAGCTTTCCATTACAAATATCCAAAAGTTCTGGACACCCGGTCAAGGTTTTCTGTTGGATGTATTGGTATGTTTGGGATCCAAATTATTTAATGACTTTAATGAAAGTCTAGGCTTCTTACTCCATGTGATTTATAAATTCAGTTTAGTGGTGAAATAACTAGCACCGGAGTTGGAGGCATTGATTAATTTATAGCTAGTGGAATTATTTGGAAATCTAATATTCCTGATTAGTTCATTTGTTCTGTTTGGAAAAGTGCTTTGACCTGGAGCCATAATGTCTTGCTATAAAGTA